GAGAAAGCTTGGATATTTTTGCTAGACATATATAATTGGTTGTAATGGGTGTGGAAGATAGTTGGGATACAGTAGTGTCACCACCAACAGCAACATTGGTGCCTTTGAATTTAGAAAGGGATGATCATTGGAGACATTTTGATAATTCAGTGAATGCTGTGTCTTTTGGGTTTGTAGCTACTGCTATATTGATATCCATGTTCCTTGTTATGGCTATCTTTGAAAGGTTTTTAAGGCCAAGATCATTGTCTTCCTCTGCTGGTGCTAATGGCAGTTCTTCTTCTTCTTCTAATGATCTTGAAGCTCAAGTTGTTTTCCATGGCAAGCTCGATTTCCCTTCTCCAAAAGTACTCTCTCCCTCTCATTTCATTGGCTTATATTTTGGATGCAAGAACACAATTTGGTTGCATTTTTGTTTCTGTTTCTTGCTATTGGTTTCTGGGTAGGAAGCGATAGTGTTTACTATTTACTAAATTAATTTTTGTGGTGACAAAAGCAGCATTAATTTTGATTTCCTTTTCTTGTTCTGTTTATGTCTTGAATGTTTATGGGATGTCCTGCAAAGTGTATTGAGTATACCTGCAAGGATGACTGTGACTGCTCCTTTTGCTTTCTTTCTGTTTGCAATGATAACTAATCTATGGCAGTTTGACTGGTATTATGCGAATTGAAATATTTGTATTTATGTGTTAAAAGCTTTTTCTCTTTTATGCTTTCTTAAATTTGTCTTTCTGAAATCACCTTTTGTCTTTGGTTTATTGTAGTAGTAAGTAGTAACCAATGAGATATCTATTTTTTAGTGGTTTAGGCTCTCACATTATGTATATATCTACTTGACAGTAATTAAGATGAAAAAGATTAAGTCTTTATGCATAGATTAAGTATCTGGTTTTTCTTGTATCTTATTTCATCAGAACTTGAAATGAGTTCCTGATTGAAAGAATTCTATGTCACATGAGAGAAAGGCTGAAAGCTGGGACCTGTTGATACGCATATACACCTTCCAATTGATTGCTCTATATTGGACTGCCCATGTTGGCATGTCCTTCAAGTTCTTGGTGATTGAATGATCCTTTTCAACTTTTGTTAACTGGAATTAATCCCTTCCACCGTTTGATTTTCAGTATGTAATTGCCCTTCCAATCATTTATTTAGTCTACCCAGTAAGTTTTCATTTTAATTTAACTTAATGTCAAGTAGTAATTTATGTTTAGCTCCTAGTGTTAATGGGCAATTTTCTAAACCATGATTACGTATGTCACAAGTGATTTAAGACCATGATTAAAGATGATCATAGTGACAATTAAGCTTTAGCTAGTTGAAGTGTTGTGGCTTAATTTGTGGATAGATCATACAAATTTGGAAGATTAGTGGGAATTATTTGGAGCTTCTGTACTTGGCTGCATTCTGTTAAATAATTCATCATTTGCACTAAAATATTACATTATGACGTCTCTTTAACGCAACCTCATTCGATTACGAACATCTTAGAATAATAGAAATTATTATCCTAATGCATCTTCATCGTCATTAAGAACTATAATATTATCACCTTCACACCTTTCTTAGTTATCATGTACAAAATATACGTTATTGCTTTCTGTGATCGTATGTTCAATACCGAGGATTTGATTAATTCAACAGTGTTTGTTGAGCCTTTTGTTAACTTAATTCTGTACAATGCAGTCACCTTAGCCAGAATCTACTGCTATAGTGCTGTAATTTATGAGCAGCTGGTATTGTTGGCATGGCTGGCTGTTGTTATTGTGATTAAGCTGTGTGCATTATATTATTGATTGATATAGGTGTCTATTAAACAATCCGGTGCTCTTTCCGCGCGGTTAATTATGTTAAAAGCACACATGGGAAGAAAGCCATTAATTACATTGATGTGCTTATCTATTCTAGTTTATCAGGCCAGTGGGTCCATTATAGCTTTCCAGCATGTGATTTTTGTCTTTATTGCTTAACACCATTATAGTCTCTCTATGGACTATAAGATTGCTTGCTAAAGATTAAATCATGAAAGAAGAAAAGTCCTGCTTTATTTACTCACAGAGAAGAACATAGGAAATGATGAGTGAAATTCTAATATGCATAGAGTTGTGTGAAGCAGTTGTTGGCAGATCTTAGAGATTAGGGCGGCCTGAAAACTCTCAATCAAAAACATTTATCATAGACAATCTCTCATTCCTGCCTCCCAAGGCTTGCCCTATGCAATAAATTCAACTAAACATGTCTAGACACAATGGTCAAGTTTTTCATGTCTGAACTTGTTGATTAGCTTCAAGTAACTTGCAGCAGGCCAACAGCACCACCTGATGTGATGCTGTGTGTGAGAAAAGATGTCTTCTGAAACATAACTGGTATCTATATAATGTGCCCATTGGTTTGCCATGTCTCATTGCTCCTTACCTTCCATAGTTAAGACATGCTAGGCCAGCTTTTCGTTTGTCTTGTTCAATTGGTAGTCCAATATATTGTCTTGGCATGGCTACCTAATTTTTTACCCTCCATATTTCAACATGTTTCAATGATTTCACATTTTTTCTACACTAGATGCTCGCAAATTGATTTGAAGTTGATTGAGGCCCTTGATTTATGGAAAAGAGGTGTGAAATCCGGAGACAGTGGAGATAAATGTAGGAGGTATTAGTGGTTGTTAAGAAATCATTCTACTCCACTATTTCATACCTTTATACTTGTATCTCAAGAATGATTAAAGTAAAACCCTTTTGTCTCTTTTTGCATGGCTTCATTTTTCAGCTTCTCTCTGCTTGAAATTTGTTCGAAAGTGTTTATGTTCATTAGTTGCCGAACCCGTTATACCTTCCATGGCTGGAAAATTCCTGTACACCTTGTTTACTACATTAAAGTATGCCATGGAACTTGGAAATGATACCTTCCACTAATATCTTGTTTCGCTGTCCTAAGCATTGCAAAAATATGATGTCTGAATAGTTATTCTTGAGTTTTACACTGGTTATTAGTGCCAGCGAAATTCGCAGCAATTGTTGCTGGTGCTTAGTCCATGTTTTCTTTGATAACTTCTTGTTTCATTATGCAGATGACAGTTTATGCGGAAGGGGTATCAGTCCTGATGCCCGGTGATGATGTTCCTACCTTCCTTGCACACCCAGCTCCTGCTCCCTGCCGTCCGGAGCGCATCATACAACCACTCCAGCAACATAGCCTATGCCACAGCTACACCTCAACCTCCACTTCAAGCTAAAACCTAACATGAATTCAAAATAACTAACTAGAGCATGGGTTTTTTTTTCTTCCAGTCATTGTCATCAACCAAATTTGATTTCAGCTGTGAACATTACTGATCATGAATGTGTACATTTGAATTCAATGAAGGTTGAATATGTTTTTCGTCTAAATTTGAATTTTTTAAATATTTTTAGGTAGTTTTCATATGTTGATGTAAAAATTAAATTTTAAAAAATAATATATATATATATATATATTTAATATATTTTTAAAAAAAAACACTTTAAACTCTCAAACATTTCAAACGTTGGCTCTGCTTCTCTCTATCTAAATCAACACAGCCAAGTGTGCCACTCCTTTCGATCTCCTTGTTTTATTTATATTAGTATTAAAGATTTTTTTTATCAATTTATTCATATTAAAACAAGGAATTATTTTCCTACAATCTTTTATTAGGGATGATTATTTTTAATTTAGTATAATTTTTATCAAAAACATAATTAAATTTAATTTAAAAAAAAATCAAAACTAGAAATAGTTCTGACTGGGTTCAATTATTTTGAAAAACAAACTAATTCAAATGGACCGATTCAGTTTTTTCTGATTGACATAAATTTTTTGATTTAACTTGGATTTTTTCTAGGTTTTTTCTATTTAAGTTCAATTTAGTTTTTAAAAAAAAAATTATAAAATCAAAACTGAACTGAATTAGTTGGTTTTTTTAAATTCTAATTGGTTTTTTTACTATTTAATTTTTTTAATTATTTTTTAATTTAATTAATTTTTCGATTTTTAACTCGTGCTTACCTTTCATGGCATTGAATTCTAAAAGAAAACTTAATTTACTTGATTAGATTTTAAATCACTTGATTATTTTTATTCAAAAGATGTATCAATACTAAAATTTAAAATAAAAATAAAAAACATCTTTTTAACTATAAATCAGAAAATTCATAAATACCTGGCAGGATTGTGATCACTTCTAGCCTTCTGAACATTAAGTGAAAATACAAGGGAAGAGATCATCGTGCTGTCTGTGCCTTCTCAAAACCACCTTCTCTTTATTTGGTCACTTTTAATTGTTGATTGTCTTCCAAGAGATACTCCAATGGTTTAAATGCTGGGCTTTAAACTTTTATTATAGCTCAGAAAATTCACAAAATTTTATTCCTTGTAATAAAATGGTAATATATTCAGAAGAGATGGAAGCGCTTTATGTTTGTTATGTTCAGTTTAGTTCCAGTAAATGATTTAGAAAACTTACAGTTCAAAATTTAATTTAAATTGAATATCCAGTTAAATATAATAAAATCTAAGATATGTAGTGATTTGATTAACTTTACAGAACCTTCTAAAATGAATTGAAACAGCATCAATGAATTTTTCTTTTCTAAAAAGTTAAATGATATTATTATTATTATTATTTTGTTTTTTCATGTGAGCACTCCGACCAAACCCCCGACAGTTAGGGTCAACAAACGACGCAATTGCTCTAGCAAATGGCCTTGTGTACTCATTACATGGAAGAAAGATAACAGATGCGGTCAGTCATGTCAGCAGCAGCAGCAGCCTTGAGCTATTAATTTCGTATTTCCTCTGGGTCCCAAGTCCCAATTCCAACCACTTTTCATATTTTCAAACTTTATCATGGAAGTATTGGATGCATGGTCCCAAAGAACAAACAATCAACTCTTAGTAGTCTTGAATATTTCCATTTCAAAAGAAACTATTCATGTTATCAGAAGAGAGATCAGTCGAAGTTCCCAGAGAAAATTTCTTAAAAAACATAAAAAGATTTGCTAGTTCTTGGGGACCTGTTGTTTCTTTAGTTCTAGCCATTATGTACATGGGATGCATCGCATCTAGCAAGAGGGGTAGTTAACCTGTTAAGACTATCAAGTTATGTCAAATCAAAAATAAGGTAGAACAAGCTTTCATTAAGAATGTGATTGATGGCTATAAGATTCAGGTAATGGGTTACCATCGAGCTATGAAGAAACTGACAAGGACTCGTGGTCTCCTGGTGGTCGTGACCGGTGTGCGCTCTATGGCGCAGCTAAATGAGCCAGTCCCGGAGCAATGCCCTACCAACCAGAGAGTGATGGTCCCATTTTGCATCAAAATGGCCCTGCTTTTCTTATTCAAGAATCTTTTTGTACATGCAGACTCTGTATAAAAATCATCTCAGAGAAGCACCAGCTTGGTTTCAGCCCCCGAGATATACCAAATAATAAATGAAAAAAAACAAGACGCGGCAACGTTAGAGGTCTATTTTTCGAGGGTAGAATTTTAAGTTGATTTTTATTATATATATATATATATGATAGCATATCATGTACGCATTTTTTGGATAATTTTCTTCATAGTAATCTATTTTCAAACTCAGATTCCAATCCAAATTTGCAATCCACCTTCTTACAAAATGATGCTGTTCTCCAATCTGCTCTAAGGGATTTTTTGTATCAAAATATATAATTTATAGTAGAAAGCGATAGCGTTTATAGAAAGCAACCTTTAGAAAGAGAGGAAGGAATTTCTGAGGAATCTGTCAATTCAAGACTGGAGGTTTAATTGTTCTCTTCCAGAGCCAACCACTTCAGGCACAAACCAACAAGAGCAACCAAGTTAACGGGTCTCCGGCATAGACATTGCTGGGGATTATAAGGATAATAGATTTGTGGCTAAAAAAATGCCAGGGAAAAAAAAATTGGGACTCGGGGTATTTCTTCATAATTTAAATAACATCAATAAATAAATATAATGATAATAAATTAATTAATAAAAAAATAATAGTAAAAATAAATTACTAAACAATCCAATATTTAAATGTAAAAATTAAAAAAACTACAAAAAAAA